TTTTTATATTTTTTATTATTTTATATAAAAATAATTTAACAATTCTTACATTAACAACTATCATCAAAATAAATATAATTTTTTTTTAACCATCTCACTATCAATCCCCTCACTAATAATCTTTTTATTATTAATTTCCTCATTATAAATCTTATTTATTCTCCCTCTGTAAATAAACGGGGCTAAGTAATTAGACAGGGACAGACAACATTTGTCAGCTTGCCAAGTTGCCATGTGAGCAGTGCGTCCTAGGTGGAGGATGAGTAGGGACAGTCTTCTATATATCTAAGGGAGAATTTCCCCCCCAAAAAAAAAGTGAGGGGGAGATAAAAAAAAATAATGATAAATGATTTATGCATAAAAATGGTAACTTGGACGTATAAGTTGTTCATGCATAAAATTTGTGAGATTCAAAATACTGGACAAATCAAAAAAAAATTGTGAGATTAAAATTATAACTCTTAATTTTTTTTCTTATTTTTATTTTTAATGAATTTTTCTAAATTATTTTTTTTTCTAAATCCATTTCGACTAGACAATCCAAAAACTTCTGAATTTTTTTTGAAAAATTCATTATAAAAAAAATAAGCCAACTTTTTATTTTTTTAAAAAAACCTACAAATTAGTGTTTTTGAACCTTTTTAAAAAAAAAAAAAAATCAAACAATATGAAGATTTATAATTAGCATGTTAAAATTGATTAGTTCTTAACACATAAAAATGGTGCAACATAATAATAAAAATAAATAAATAAGTCAGATGAGTTTCACAACTAATTCATTTAATCTAATCGCTACATAATTACTAACCTCACTCTAACTAAACCTTTGAATAGTATATGTAGTATTTCTATGCAAGGGTTCTCTCCTTAGTCCATGAATAGACAGTACAGTTTACATTTTTTTGGATTCATTTTAGGCTCATTTTAATAATTTAAATAGTTTATTATGTAAGACTTATGAAGAAAATTATTTACACAAGTTGATTGAACATGAGTATTTATATTATTAGATTTTTGCATAGTTTTGTGATATGATTATGTGGATATTGATATTTAATCAATTTAATTTTTTGTGTCCTTAGTTCATATTTTTTGTCCATAAATATAATTTGTATCGTCCAATCAATCTCCATGGGCAGAAGAAATCCTATGCCTTTTATGTGCCTAGTGGCATAAAAATAAGCAGTAAAACTAGAGACTTGGGAAAAATTGTCAACATATTAAACCAAAAAATGAATGCGTGGTTAGGATTTGCTTAATGCAGGGTAAGGTCCACAACTATAATGAATTTGAACTACTTCTTGGTGATTTTTGAGTAATATCCCGGTGTCGTTTGGGAAGAGTTCATTTGGGTTCTTTTGGTTCTTTAAGTCACAAAATACATAATAGGTTATTTGAGTCGCAACAGACAAAACATCGTATTCAATTCATAATCATTACACTCTTCTCTCACAAAAAAAAGTCAAAAAAATCAAAAAATTCTTCCCAAATCAAACTTTTGAACCCAAACTCAAATAACTAAAAAAATTAAAAAGTCAAAAAATCAACTCACATCTCAAACGGAGGCTCCATATAATTTTTTTTTTTAAATATGAAGCATGGGTCATAAATAAGAGAGTTGATGAAAAGCTAGGACTCTATGAGGTTTGACTTTTTTAAATTTTTTTTTGGAACTGTAAACCCTAAAGGTTGAAATCAGCATTGTCGTTTTATGCCACAACTTTTATTAAAGTTGAGCCTATTGTTTGGTGGTGTCCAAAGTAAGATGGTACTCTCCCTATCCTAAAAGGCTAAAATAATAATCTCGGGAATCTAACTTTTTATTGTAATATAATTATTACATTTTAAAAATATTTAATTTTTCAAAATTTTTTTTTGATAATATATATATTTTCTAAAATATCATTTGTCATAATTATACTTTTGGTATTTTTAATAAAACTTTAAAAAAATAACAAAATAAAAAATTTATAGTGAACCCAGGGATGTGTGACATTGTGGTTAAGACCTGGGATTTAAACCCCAGGTCACAAGTTCAATTCTCCTCTTTGGGCCAATTTTTTGAACAAAACACAGTTGGTTAGGAGGTTGAACCTCTAGTTGTCTAATCAGCACATGGTTTAGGTTCAATACTCCTCTACTGTACGAGTCCTGACTTAAGCGAAGCTTGTCTTGAGAGGACGGAACAAATTCCCAAGTTATAGTCTCATCCCTCGAAACAGCTAACAATCTCTCTAACAAGACACCCTAGTAATCTCTGCAAGGGACGTTGCCTTGGACTTGCAAGAGAGTAGGGAGAATTTTTCTGTAACAAATATATATATATATATAGTATTTGAGACTTTGATTTTTGAAAGAGAACTAATATTTTGAGACAATAAAAAATAAAATAAGAGATTAATATTCTAAGACGTAGGGAGTATAATTTGTCGCAATTCCTTTTTTGTGACGGATCAAAATTCTATAATAATATTGTTGGTCGGGAAAAAGAAAAAAGGTAAAAGGTTAAAAAATAAGACTATTATTCAATCAAACAGTAATAATAATAAAAAAAAAATGAAACACATAACCGTTCTAACCAAAATGTCAAGATTTGAGGTGACATTTTACATTAAACTTATTATATCAAACTTTACTAGGTTAGTTAAAAAAGAAAAATTAAAAAAAAGAGAACTTTACTAGGTAGATTCCACAATAAAGTATTCTCTTTGATTTCCAAGTTATTATTATTATTTAAAAATAGATTCTGTTTAATTTTTCATATTTTTAGTGGAATTTTTTTATATTTTAATTTTGTTATTACTATTTAAATGCATTTAAAAAGTAAAAAAAATTAAAAAGTTCACCAAAAAAAATAATAAAACCAGCACATTTCGGTGTTTTATGTTTTTCAGTAGAAAAAATGCAGACTTCTTTATGTGCATTTAAATTATATACATTTAAAAAGTAAAATTTTTCAACTAAAATATCTTTTAAAAATTACTAAAGACAAAAAAAATAATAATAATAATAATAAAGACAGATAACACAATTAAATTTTAAAAAAGTATAATACTACTATTTACATACTTCAAATCATTATTATTATTAAAAAATATTTAAAACAGCTTTAAGGGATGTGGTTAGTGTTAGAATATATTTAAAAAGTCTATTAAAATATATAGAAGATATATAAAAATATTTTAAAATATGTAAAAAGTGTGATAAATTATAAATATTTTAACATTTATATTTCTTATGCATTGTTTTGAAAGTTGTGATTAATAAACCCTACATGTTATTTGAGACAATTTTGAAGGTTGATAATGTCTAAGATTTGGTTGTCCCAATAAGCCCAAGAATGAAAAATGAAACTTGAATGTCATGTCCAAGAAAGAGATGCATCTAGGAGGGGCTGGTTCCATCCTATTGATAGCATAGTTGCCCCCCTTCTAAGGTATACCTTTGTCCCACTCTATGTTAATGGATATAACAAGCCATTGACAAGACCTTGAGAAAGCAAAGATGGACCACTTTATGTCCCAATGCCGCCTCTCTTATTTGGGTTTTTGTACTTTTTTGATAAGTTCCACTTTGAAAGGATGTAATAGGTTAAGAAATAGGGAAATCCTATATGCATCCAATTATAAAATTGTATAATTTTATCATAAATTTTTATAATATTAATTTATAAAATTGACATAACAAAAATGTTCAAAATTTTATGAATTTTTTTTTTTGAACAACAAAATTTTATAGTTGATGTTATAAATGTTTGTGACTTAATTATGATATTTTTTTTAAGTTAATTTGTGACGATATTATACATTTTGTAGTTAATATTACAAAATTTTATAATAAACTTATATATTTTTGTGGTAAGGTGCATTATAGTATTCCCAAAATAAATATTCACATAAAAAGAATTAAGAAAAATATTGTGTAGTCTATATTTAAATCACGTACTATTTTTCTTGTTACTTCTTTGTATTGAGTTCATAATTTCTAACATTATCATAAAAATAAAAATATGTTGGGAAGGATCTAAATCCCATCCTTGGATTGGCATTGCTTGTGTTTGGCAAGTGGGTTTGCAGGTTTTTTTGGCTATTTTAGCCACAAAAAACAAAATAGGCTATTTTAGCCATAACAAACAAAACATCACATCCAACCCATAATCATTACATTCTTCTCTCACAAAAAAATTTAAAAAACCCAAAAAGTCAAAAAGCCCTTCCCAAACCAAACTTTTAAGTCAGGCTAAAATAGCAAAAAAAGTCAAAAAGCCAAAAAGTCAACCCACTTCCCAAACGGAGGAATTGTGCCTTTAAATTGTAATTGACTCATAAATTTGAATAGAGATTTAATCCTATTTAAATTTAAAATACAAATACAACCTCAAAAATAAGCTCATAGAAACAAAAAAGCACAAAACCCACTTCAAAAGCATCCAACAACAAAATTGACACCTCCACAAATTCTTATACAGCTTAAATTGACACCTCCACAAATTCTTATACAGCTTTGGTCAATTTTCGCTTTTTGGTCTCTGGAATGTGAGATGTCTTTGGCCTCACTCCAATTCTTCCATGATTTCTTCACATTGTTTGCTTGCTTCTTTCATCTTTCCACACATGAGATTCGGTGGGTGATGCTTTTAATGCCTGTGCTCTAAAAAGGCAATTCAACCCCATCAATTTATGATCCACTTTCTCATAAAAATGGATTGAAATTTTGGACCACAGGGCATAGTAATCCTCTTGAGCATGACCATAGAAGTCCCTACTTACTAAAGAGCCGAACAAGTAGAGGCTAAACACACCCGGTGACTAACAAGCAATCAAGTAAGGGTAAAAAGAGAACATGAAAACCAAAATTTTCAATTATTGATATTTGAGAGGAAATGTTCGCATTCTACAGCTCTGTAAACAATTTTATTTTTTATTTTTTTCACATCAATGATTTCGATGATAAGGAATTCTGGTGATGGTAGTAGTGTTGGGCGCAAAAATCCACATGCATTGATCAAATCAAAATGAAAATTCCAATTTACGACTGAATGACATATAAAGCAGGCTACCAATCTTTCCCCCTTTTACAGAAAGTATTGAGGTCTCATAGACCAATTTCATTTGTAATGCTGATAATTACACTCGCATGGTAGCCGAAACAATATGTTTGTGGATCGGTACCCAAATGTTTGTGGTGACCGTAGTCACCGTAGATCAATAACATCGAACTTTATGTCAGGATTCATATACACATCTGTACATTGTTTGTAAATTGGCCCACCATCTGGAGGTGGGTCATGTGGATGAAAGCCGCGCCGCGGACATTGTCTTATAACTCCCATGCCACCTGGAGTGGTTAACCGGAAAATACCATGGGTTCTGCACAAAAATTTAAAAAATTCGGCAAAAAATACTTGAAACAAATATAAGAATGTTATCCTATACCAGACCAAAATGAGAATAATTCTTACTTTGAACTATCTCTTGGTGCCATAACAATTGCAATAGCTTCTGGCAACATAATCTGGAGAAGGATTAAGCATTTGTTAAAAGAAAAACAAAGTGAGCTAAAAGAAAGACAAAGAAAATCAGAGAGTTACACACCTGATATGAATAATGAGTGTGAACATCAATTGAGGACATGAAACAAGACTGCGTAGGATGTGTCTGCAAAATGAAACCCAGCAAATGATCAACTACTTAGCATCGCAGTCAATAGTAAATAAAATATACGAGCTTTTGAAGCATAACAAAGATTAAGCAGTGAACTAAATGCAACAAAGTTCCTGGTGAATGAGCTGATGTAAAATATTATAGATGATTGTGATGTCCATCCATAAACATAAACTAACTTTCTTCAGAGCAACCAGAACTCAGACCGGGGTTTGTTTCTCTAGATAACAAAAAGAAACCTATATGTTGGTTTTGGAAGGTTTCGTGAGATGGGAAGCTAACAGCATTTCAGTGGAAGGGCATCGGAGACTAAGAGAGAGTGGTTTTCCCAAGCTTCTTATGCCAAGAACCCCAACAGAAATGGAAAACAGAATTGTTCTACTGATGTAATCCACGACAAATTAATCACAAAAAAATTATCAAAAGTCCAGACTTAAACCAACCATGAACCAAAAAAAAAACCTTGGATTGGCAACTTCCAAGATAAAATATTGGGACGCAGTTTCATTTGCACAATCGTCACTGGGAGGGAACATTAGGAAATTAGTATATTTCCTTCACTGCTCCACAATAGTGTAAATAAATAATTAAAATATCAAAAATAGATTACAGAAATCAAAAGGGGGCCACTGCATGGTGCAATGTCAAAAGCTTGGGGCTGCTGAGCTTCAGAATGTGGATTTAAGTACGATGGCATCCATTTTTTACTAAGCATGCCAAACACTCTCATTGACCATATTGGCAGAACCAAAACTGGGTAATGGCATTTTAGACAAGAAGTTTCACAACAGGCTTGCAATTTGAGATCACAATTAATAATTTGAAGCCAAATGACATCCAACCAAAATGCAAAATGAACCACAAAAAAATAAAAAATAAAGGAGAAAAAGAAACAATATAGCTATATCTATAGTTTTATTACAGGATTCCTATTTCTAGAAGGATCATTTAGATGGAGGGTGAAGACAGCCATGGGAATTGAAATAACTATACATACTTAGGACAGATTAGGGATACAAACAAATAAAGAGATAGACAAGAAATACGAGAAATGATAATGAGAGAGACATGCACAAGACGACATAAAATACTCACATGAATCCACCCAAGGGGAAAAAGAGATTGTTTATCCTGCACTTCAAATATTTCCTCTTCATTTGTGGTTTGACACTAATCAGAAAGCACACACTTAGTATAACAGTTACAGAACTCTGATTCAAATTAAGGAAATAGAATACTGCCTTACCGAATCTGATGTTGATTCTTGCTTCGGAATGATAAGTGCCGTCACATAAAATTTCCGGTTTTTCTACAGAAGGGGGAAAAAAAAAATCACAAAATGCTTGGGACCAAGTCGAGGAATGTCAAATTAATAGCACTTACAAGTGAACCTGCAAGAACACCACAAGTTTCTAAATTTTTGTCTGTATTTGACTTCGCCATCTTCATGAAGCTATCCATCAATTTTGTTGACTGCAGAGATATATAGGTAGGGTAAGGAAGAGACAATATTTTCTTCAGTTGTTACAGCTGAACTATGGGGGGGCAAGTTCCATAAAACTAAAATTGAGAAGTTTTTAATGATGAGTTAGCACAGCTGAAATCTTTTAGATTTGATCGTTCATAATTCAATGTTAAATCCTAAAGGTTAAATTTGTCCATTGCGATTAAAATTCAAAATCACCTTGCAAGAATTATCTTTATATTCAGTGATAAGTCAAGTTTCTCCGACTAAATACCCTCTTCAATTAGAATTTACATGTGCAGCTAAAGTAATGGTGGGCCATACAAACTCTCCCCTTAGCCATATGCTCACATAATAAATTTATCATGCTGGAGGAAAAGTCATGTTCAAAATAAAATAAACAACAGAAATTAAGAGAGAGAGAGAGAGAGAATCTCACAATGTGCAATTGCAATGGAGATTCTGAAGACGCTAAACCATCAGGCAAGGAATTATCCATTCCATATAGTGTCTCAGTAACTGCTGGTGAAGCAGGAATCAAATCTTGTACTTCTGCTAAAACAGGAGGAGGAGAAGGCTGTCTGATAATATTTGTTTGCAAAGGCATTTCAATTGGTTCAAAGGAAATCAAGGAGCCAGGTTCCTCAGCATGATGCATCTTATTATCATCATTTAAAGGAAGAATTGCTTCCACACTTGATCTTTCGGGTTCTGAGTTGTTAGAGACTTTTTCGGTCAACACTCCATTTTCTGGGGCTTGCTGCAGGCTGTTTTCCCTTTAAAAGATCAAAGAATATATTCAACCTCATTAGCATAAGCTCAGAAATAGAAAAAAGAAACATTAAAAAAACGAGAATGGACTTGCTGCAAACTCAAATTACTGTCCGAGTCTTGAGCAGAGAAACATTATCATTAAATCTGATTCCAAAAGCAGTATGATTTGCTCATTTGCAAGTTCTCATATTCTCAGACAACTCGAGAATGTAATGACTGACTAATCTAGTTTTCCATGCATACTCCTTAAAGGTAATTTCCTTCACTGACCTAGGTTTCAGCACACAAATATTGTAGTTTATTTATTTATTTATTTTTTTGAATGCAACATAAGGGATTTTATTAATCAAGAAAACAAAGAACAAATTGAGGACAAGGTGTCTGCACACAAATATTACTGTGGAATCAGATTTTTAAAAAAAATATTGATATGCTCCTTGTTAATTATTTGTCTGTCTGACTACTCAAGAATCCACTGAGCAGGCTAATCTAGTTTCCATTCCAACATATAGTAAAGAAAATTTTATCAAATGCAGGTGGTCTTAAAATCAAAATTCCCAAAATGAAAGCAGTTTTAAACTCATTTCCCAAACCCACGTAATTTTATAAACACAACTGAATTTGTGTTTTGAAAACACTTTATGAAACAATGTGAGTTTTGGGAAATAAGTTTAAAGTTGCTTTGGTCAAGAAATTTTGTTTCAAAACAATTTTCATTTGGTAAAAAACTCGTAAAGGTCATCAAACTGCAGCCTTCTTTTCCAAATTTGGCTTTTGATAGTTGCGAAGCAAGAGATCTGCAAATCCTCATACCATTTATTGGCTTTTGATTGGAATTATTATAATGGTCAAAATTGATTGTAATTTTATTCATCCGAAGTGTAGTCTCACAGTGTGGTCAAAGAGGAGAATCCCACAGGACCATAAAGAGGACTTGCGCGTCACCTCTTCTCTAGTAGTATCTCTTCGAATAAGACACTGGTAGGGTTCTATGCAAGAATCCATGCCTTAGCAATAGGATGTTTTCACCAAATATTAATCTTCTAACATTACTTCGCATTACATAGATTCTGTCAGTCTAGAAATACTGAATGCAGTTCTACAATAACGTTACACGGAATCTAACCTTGGAATTTCAACAGGAGTGAAGTCTATATTTATTGGATATTGGACCTACATTCACAAGAGAAAAGTCAGTCTGTCCTCTACTGTAATGAAGCAAAAAAATAGCCGAAAACCATCATACCCTTTTATCACTACTAGGAGGTTGCCACTGCCCGTGGAGCCCAGTTGGACCCAAAATAGAATGTCTTGAAAGAGTTTCCTCCTTTGGACGGGGAATGGTTAGTGAACTACAATAAGAATGCAAGCAAGCAAACAGTAAGCAAAAAGAAGAACATAATTACATGATTAAATTCATTTCAATTCTCCATTATCACATGCACTAACAGAAAACAAGGTACGATACCGTATTGAGTGCAAAATGATTTCAACAGGTAGAGTTGAAACTTAAATTTCACTCTTTATGCTTTCAGAATAATTTTAAGTTATTGAGTCACTTTTTGTAATATTTCAGTCTTGGCAGGATGATATCAAAAGTTCATGCATAATACAGCTCCCAGGGAAAGTAAAAAACAAAGAAGTTGGAAGAATTGGCAACCAATGTTTGTTGCCTGATAAAGACAAGTGGCAGCAACCGATTTAAGGTTTACAAGAGACACGGAAAAAATGCTTCTAAGAACCAAGCTTTGATTTGACACGCATTGGATGATGCACAGCCACACTTGGAACCTTGGATAATCATGTTTTAGCCTTATGGATTTTGTTTTATGGATCATGATATCTCTATTGAAGTTTGGAAGTGTTTAGGTAAAAAGAGGATTGCTTGGTTGATTAGGTTGTTTAGCAAAATTTTGTTGACTAGGAACATGCCAAATGAGTAGAGGAAGAGTGTTTTAGTGCCAATCTATAAGAATAAAGGAAATGTCCAGAATTGCAACAACTATAGAGGAATCAAGCTAATGTGTCACATAATAAAGTGTGGGTGAGGGTGATGAAAATTGTGAGATATAACAGAGGTGTCAGAGAATCAATTTGAGTTTATGGCTGGCAGATCAACAATGAAAACGATTTATCTTTTGAGGAGAGTAATAGAAAAGTATAGAGAAAAGAAAAGAGACATTCATATGGTGTTTATCGACCTTAAGAAAGCATATGATAGAGTACTCCGGGATATAATATGGTGGATGTTAGAGAAGAAAGGGGTGGCAAAAGGTTACATTGGTGTGATTAGGGACATGTATGAAGGAGTGGTGACCACTATTAGATTGTCTGCTGGAGAGACAAATGAATTTCCTATCACTTTAAGGTTACACCAAGGATCTACTTTAAGTCCTTATCTTTTTACTTTAGTTATGGATGAGTTGACGAGAAATATTCAAGATAACGTGCCATGGTGTATGCTTTTTGTAGACGATGTTGTGCCAGTGGATGAGACTAAAAAAGGAGTTAACACAAAGTTGGAGATTTGGAGAAAAACTCTTGAATCTAAAGGATTCCGGATAAGCAGAACTAAGACAGAGTACAGGGAGTATAAATTTAGTAACAGTAACAATGAAAGTAGAGGAGAAGTGAAGATTGAGAGCCAAGAACTGCCAAAGAGTGAACATTTTCGTTATTTAGGGCGATTATCACAACAACGGAGGAGATTGATGCGGATGTGACCCATAGGATTAAGGCGGAATGGTGTAAGTGCAGAAGTGCGTCTGGAGGTTTTAGCCTTATGGATTTTGTTTTATGGATCATGATATTCCTATTGAAGTTTGGAAGTGTTTAGGTAAAAAGAGGATTGCTTGGTTGATTAGATTGTTTAGCAAAATTTTGTTGACTAGGAACATGCCAAATGAGTAGAGGAAGAGTGTTTTAGTGCCAATCTATAAGAATAAAGGAAATGTCCAGAATTGCAACAACTATAGAGAAATCAAGCTAATGTGTCACATAATAAAGTGTGGGAGAGGGTGATGAAAATTGTGAGATATAACAGAGGTGTCAGAGAATCAATTTAGGTTTATGCCTGGCAGATCAACAATGAAAGCGATTTATCTTTTGAGGAGAGTAATAGAAAAGTATAGAGAAAAGAAAAGAGACATTCATATGGTGTTTATCGACCTTGAGAAAGCATATGACAAAGTGCCTTGGGATATAATATGGTGGGTGTTAGAGAAGAAAGGGGTGGCAAAAGGTTACATTGGTGTGATTAGGGACATGTATGAAGGAGTGGTGACCACTATTAGATTGCCTGCTGGAGAGACAAATGAATTTCCTATCACTTTAAGGTTACACCAAGGATCTACTATAAGTCCTTATCTTTTTACTTTAGTTATGGATGAGTTGACGAGAAATATTCAGGATGACGTGCCATGGTGTATGCTTTTTGTAGACGATGTTGTGCCAGTGGATGAGACTAAAAAAGGAGTTAACACAAAGTTGGAGATTTGGAGAAAAACTCTTGAATCTAAAGGATTCCGGATAAGCAGAACTAAGACAGAGTACATGGAGTATAAATTTAGTAACAGTAACAATGAAAGTAAAGGAGAAGTGAAGATTGAGAGCCAAGAACTGCCAAAGAGCGAACATTTTCGTTATTTAGGGCGATTATCACAACAACGGGGGAGATTGATGCAGATATGGCCCATAGGGTTAAGGCGGAATGGTGTAAGTGCAGAAGTGCGTCTGGAATACCGTGTAATAAACGAATACCCACTAGACTAAAAAGTAAGTTCTATAGAATGGCTATTAAACCAGCGATGTTATATGGGACGGAGTGTTGGGCAACCAAGAAACAACATGTAGATAAGATGAGTGTGGCTGAAATGAAGATACTAAGGTGAATGTGTGGCAAGACTAGACAAGACGGAATTAGGAATGAGTGTATTCGGGAATGGGTAGGAATAGCACTGATAGAAGATAAGTTGAGAGAAAATCGATTGAGATAGTTTGGTCACATTCAACAGAGACTAACAGAGACAGTAGTGAAGAGATGCGATACTGTAACGATAGATGGAAATATTAGGGGACGAGGTAGGTCTAGATTAACGTTGGCTAGCGTCATAAATAGAGATATGAACCAACTTAATTTGACTAACGAAATGGCCTTTGATAGGGCTGCGTGGAGAAGAAGGATTCATGTAGCCGACCCCATTTGATGGGATTTAAGGTTCGGTTCAGTTCGGTTGTACAGGTAACTCATGGATCATCTTGTGGGTCAAGTTATCTAATTGGTTTTTATTCATAGGTCTTATTTGATCTCAAATAGATTTTAGAAGTCAAAAGTTTAGTAGTTTCCTCTTTAAAAATCTTAGTAAAACTAGTTGATGAAGGAAGTACCCTAATCTATATAAAGTCATGTAATGATTCTAATTTAATACAGAATAGTTTTGAGAGAATTATTTCCAACAAAAATGCTCCTTTTGACATTGTGTGATGCAATCTAAGGCCTCTAGGAGTAATTCCTAAACATATTTTCTTCTCCTCCATTTTTCCTTGTTAAATTTTCTACATTTTAACAACCCAACAAATTTTTATTAATGCTTTTCCTAACCATTGCAGCCTTCTCTGTAAACCCAATTTTCCCCCCTTGATTCTTCAACCCTAGAACAAGAAGGCAACTTTAAAACAACAAAACACTGTACACAGCTCCGAGAACAGTCACTGCTTTGATCTCATTTCCTTATTTAAATAAACCTAGCTCTACTTTCTCCCATAAACTAATTAAAACCTTAAAATTCCAACTGTAAATCAGCTTTAAACTGCAATATAAATAAATTCCAGGTTTAAAATCCCCCAATGCGCAGACCAGCATCAAAAAGTATTTCACAATAACCTTTGTGGTGAGTCCATGATTACGTCCTTCAAGTCCTACGAGGGACCATTTCAAATTAAAATCAGAGAGAGCCAATAGCTATACAACATACCCTGTACCCATGTTAAGCATAAACAAATGCACAAGATAAATAAAACTAGCATGCATGATATTATTTTAGAATTTTGGAATGGTATCTTCGTAATATTTTTACTTATTTCAAGTTAGTTAAATAATATGACTCAGTGGCATCCATATATTGTGGGTGTTTGGGAAGTGACTGTTTTAGAGGCTTTTTGGCTATTTTAGTCGGCTATTTTAATTTTTGTATTTGGGAAGATAGGATAGATTTTTATTTGAGTTGTTGTATTGAAAAATGTGTTTGAAATGATGTTTGAGGCTGAAATTACAAACTTGTCCCTAGCCTCACTTTTTTCAAAATTTATCTATAGGGGCAAAATTGTCATTTACTAAATGTGCCTATACTGAGGGCCTATGCTGAACCTACACTGTCAAGTGACAGTGTAGGCTGCCCCATGCCGATTTGTTTTTTTTTTTTTTTTTTTAAATATAAATCATTGATTTAGGGTATTTGAGGCTATTTGGTTTTTTTAGTGTTTGAGGCTATTTTAGCCTCAAAAGTGGCCCAAACACCCCCATTGAATGGAGTTGAACCAATGTTAAAAGGCTAAAGAGACACATTAACGCAAAAGGACCATAGTCCAATGATACTTCAAAATGACTGGAGTTTTCTAGTGGAATGTGTCAAACATGGACAATTTCTTTAGATTTTACTACAGACTCAAAAGTTGCTTTCTTTCAGTTGCACCCAAAATTAGGTACTATCTACCACAGAAAACAGACTACCATAGTACCATACCCAAAAACAATCTAGTTAACATGAAATTAGATTGCCTACAAAACTCACACATGTAAACCAAATTAAGAGACATTAAAGGAAAACATATCTTTTATTGAACCATGGGCCTAGTAGCGCAAAGTACATTACAACTAGGCACATGGTTGAATCCCAATGTAACCTGCACAAACTGCCAGGATTCCAATCCTAGCTTAAGCAAATTAGGGTGTTTTGACAACCAAGAAAACAAAAGATAAAATGAACTTTTAGGAGTGCCTGGGCATGGAGGCAGGATCAAAAGAATAAAAAATGTGAGGTCTGTACCATATTGTGCAGAAGGAAAAAAGGTACAAAACATTAAACTTAGTTCTACACAAACAAAAAGACATGCAACGGTCAAGCTAAATAATGGTGGTAGATAAAATATTAAACTACTGAGGAGATGCTAAAAATGAAGAGATGTTAAACAAACCATTTAACCCTACTTCCATTGAAACAAATTGAAGGACAAGCCAAATAATGCTAGTCTAGGTTTTGATTTAACTATCGGTTGATAGAAACCCTTTGAAGGATATCAGAGCACTTACAATCTGCGAAATTGATCTTCTACCGGCTTGGCAAGTGAATACTGCTGAGGCCTTGAACCTTGATACACATATTCTTGAGCAGCAAGGCGTGGTGTCTGTCAGATATAAATAGCATATCAAAGTATGAACTTAACATTAATGTGGTATATATTTTAACAAGGAGCAGCAGCTAAAACAGAAAAGAAATAGACAAAGAGAGCATATTTATGCCTGATACCCTGGACAACAGCCATCACAAAATGTCCGTCACTTAAAATTAAAGTTGCAACTTCTGAACCCAATTCAACAATCAGAAGAAAGAAACGGACAAGTTGGAAAATGGAAATTTTACGCAAAGCTATGATGCATTAAGTGTGTACCTTTGTTATAGCATAACTAGTAATGCTTTGCTTTTTGATAGGAGGCCACTCCAGTGAAGAATCAAATGAACTGTTTTGAGGAAGATGACCCCATCCATTTGCTTGATATGTATGTTTTCTGTTTAACTCGTCAATCTTATTTTGCACTTTTGGCTTCAGTGTCTCCAGTTCACCCATGGCATTCAATAATCTCTACAGTCAGAAATTGAAATACCAAATTATGCCGGTTGGACTTCCAATGAAGAATTATAATCTTGATTAAAAAATAAAATGAGAGAGACGTGGTTATAATACCTTCTTCAAATAAGATTTATTGGTTTGTGGAAATGCTCTATATTCTCGATGGCATGGTATTGTCTCAGTGACCAGACTGAAGCAGAATTAATGATTTAGTTTCATGACACAGTTGACACTTGAGAATAAATGTAGGATTTTCAACACTAAAACCACCCCTCCCAATTTCATAACACCTATCAGGTTACAGAGCAAAACTAAAAAGGTTTAAGTAATCTTCTTCTTTTTTCTCACCTTGAAAACCTTAGAAGCATGACATATAGATCTATAATGTTGTCCTCTTCTCGGAAGATGTCAGCCTACCATGCCATAATTATATTAGGATCAAATACATCACTTCAAATCAACAAATGACAAAGTAATAAAAATTTAGAGAGAGAAATGAATCATAGGAGACAGGATGTCAATTCCAAACCACAAACAAAGTAAATGGATTAAATGAACAACAGAAGATTACACCAAAAGCATGAGCCGAAGCACAAACGCAAAATACAAAATCAGGGAAAAATCAATGTCTGTAATTGAAGTATGTGAATTAACAAAGTCTATAGCAAGAAGGTTTGATAAATGCTTTGGTGTCTGAATAAGAAAGAAATGTTTGATGAGACCATTGCAGCAAACATTATCATGTGCAAGTAACCTGCCATGCCAGTGTCCACAAAATGTATTTCAAAACAAACATATATGTAGGGAGATGAATTAACTAATTGTAAGATGAAGAATTAAGTGCAAGAAAAGCAATTGTGGCACGAATCATTTTTTAAGATTGAACCATCTTTTTATTCCAAACAGAAATGATATTGCACTATATAGGGAACAAAAAAAAAGACAATGCCAATATAATTGTTCAAAAGCAATAAAGGTCTTAGTTAGGAAACTAAGAAAGCATCAAGGCACGTACCAAGGAAAAACATTTAAACAAGTGGCCATATGGAAAAATGGAACTCAGCTGAATAATTCCATGATGATTTTCCAACAAACTATATATATATATATAAGAGAACAATCCTCATAGGTTTCATTGTGACCCTTCCAGAACATATCAAATACATGTCCAAACTCCAAAAATGTCTAATTATTTAAAAATAAAAATGAAAAATTAGACTCAAGCACACTTCAGACACTTGAGGAGCACGTGTTCATTGCTTAGACACACATAAAACACATTACAAGTTTAGACAAAATAACTAATGATAAAAGAAGATTAATCTAGACTTGCACAGTTACGTATTAATTCATCCTCCTTTAAACTTTAGCAATTCATGTTCAATTGCATATTTTTATTAATTTTGAATAAAATATTCATGTATGTAATGTATAATAAATATACAAAACCATAAATTTTGCATGTATCATCCACATATTGTGTCTAGCATTTTTTTAAAATTGACATGTCATCATGTTTGTGTCATGTCATATGTCCATATCCATGATTCTTGTAACTAAACTATCTCATCTATCAAAATATAGATCAATGAGCTTAACCAAAATCAACTACCACCACCTAGATTTTTAATTTGCTAAAGTTTCCAGTTTAATGAGATTGGTCATCACAAAACAAGACAAGCGTAAGACTAATATGTTGAGGCTTCCTGATTGATCCCCATACCCATGCAAACACCCATAAACCACATATATCAAACAACCCAAGTAGGGTTGTTGAACCTAAGTCGTCTGGTCTCTAAGTCATCGCCTCAGCCATCACACCAATCCATGCAAATCTAGGGGTGAGAAACGAACCAAACAACTCAAGCTCAACTCGTTAAAAGCTTGTTTGAGCTCTATTTGTTAAGTAAACAAGCCATTCTTGAATACATTTTGGAGCTCATTAAAATTTTAAAACCAAGCTTGAACAGTCAATTGTTCGTTCATCTCGGATCAAAAAGCCAAAAACTACATAGAAAAACCAAACTACTTGAGCTCGGCTCGACAAAAGCTCGTTTGAGATCAGCTCGAAAGTTTAAGAAATCAAGTTTAAACAAATTTTGAAACTCGTTATAGTTTTCAAACCATGCTTGAACAACTAAGTGTTTGGCTCGTTTTTCACCTCTATACAGATCAACAAACTTTCAGGAAAATACTGTATCCATCTAAATTTTTATATTTGTCAGTATTCCAGTTGAATAAGATTGCGCCTCAACAGAAACCTCAATCTAACTATAATCCCTCAAAATAAGACATTAAAATTGAAGTCATGGGCAATATTTTTGTCCTGAATTGAGATCTAATTTCATAATTCCAAGTTAAAATAAGCATCAAATGTATTCACAAAGATCACAAAAAATTCTAATTTAACACATAAACAATCCAGATATTATTCACTACAGTACAAGCACCTAGTTTATCCCAATCGCAAAAATCTCCAACAATTCACTCATGTTAGATAATGATTCTCACATAAACTACAGATCGTTCACCGGCAAACCACAATCGAAATACCAAATCTTTCGCAATTCAGGAAAGAAATTCAAACAACAGTTTCAGAATCGATAGAACACACACACACACACAAATACAGACCTGTTTGAGGATATTATCAGCAATCCGAAAGTAGTATCGGAGAGAGATTCGATTGTCGACATCGAGCCTCTGAGCACTTGAGGCGATGTTGATTCTTCCTGAAGAAGAAGACCTCATCTTGTTCTTGAGTTTTTTCTTCTGCTTTTTCTTTCGTTTTCTAACCAAACAACATTTTCTCGGATCGGAAAATTGGGGGGCGGAACTCGGAGGAGCCGCGTCAATGGCGGACTTGGTTCAGAGACGAGATTGAGAAGAGAGAAGACGATCCAAGCAAGGTCATCGGTTTCGGCCGAGGGCAAATTCTGAAATGGGTAATTACACTTTTCCCCCAAATATTTTTCTCAAATTTCACGCTGTTTTTAGTTAGGGTTGAGTATTTGAGAATGAATTTACAAAATAATGGGCAAATTACATATACCCTCGAGGTTTGGCTAAATTACAGATACCCCTGAAGTTTTAGAAATTACATCCTGCCCCTGAGGTTTGTATTTTCATAACAATTTGCCCCCCTGAGGTTTATATTTCATAACAAATTACCCCCTAAATTCTTATACAAATATAGCATTCAGGGGGAATTCGTAATTTCTCAAACCTCAGGGGTATCTGTAATTTAGCCAAACCTCGAGGGGTATATGTAATTTGCCCCAAAATAATATATACAATATACATGTACATAATGTGGGTAAAATATATTTGTACTTTATTTATTTATTTATTTATTTTCCCTTCTAAATTTCTTCACAAATCTTTCAACCAATCGCAATACAAAAAGTCTTTTCTAATTTTATATGGTATGCCCATTTTTTATTCCTCACAAACTCTTTTAGTGTAATAATATCACTGGGAATCAATCATGAAATCAAAATTATAAGTATATTATATAAATTAAAATTAAAATTGAATTAATTTTGTTAAACTTATAAAACTTTATATATTTTTCTGTAAACCTACAATATGTTACCATAGTTTTATTTTTTATTTTTTTATTTTGTTAAACGATGTGTATACCTGTTTTTGTCATATACGACTGAAATAATATTAATAATAAAGAAAAACCAACAACAACAACCAAATTTGTAGTTTGTTGTTAGCCTTCGGCCTCTTTTGACAATACAATTAAAAGATAATTTATTAGTTTTTGACTTTATTCGATTATATCATTTTTTTATTTTTTATATATTTTTTTTAAAAAAAAAGTTAAAATGAACTTAAAAATCAACTTTTAACCTACTCCTCCAAACTTAATTACTTCATTGAAAATGTTTAAATATTTTAAAATATTATTTTTAAATTTATTCTTAATGACATATTACTCTATTACTTTGATATAAATAATTTTTTTAAAAAAAATTCAAATGGTGATGTATATATGGCTTTTTAATTTCTTAACTTTCATAACACCCTTGGTTTGTTTGATTTTGAAAAACGCACCATCTACATATTTTTTCTCTTATAAATTCTCCGAATGACTTGATAAGAAAAAAGACAAATTAATGACTCACACTCAATACACTCATATCTTTTCTCAAAGCCTTCCTGTCAATATTGTCATGTCATTTGAGGGTTTAGGAGGGATGATTTTCAGTAGATGTAGATTTTTATAGTAGTTTAATACATAACTCTCAATGATAGGACAATAAATTAGTCCTTTTTTTAAAGAATAATGTTTGAGAGCCACAATTTGTGTGGCTCAAATGGCTCAAAACTGTCAAAACGACGTCATTTTGGCATATTTTGTGCTCAAAACGACGTCGTTTTGACAATTTTGAGCAATTTGAGCCACAAAAATTGTGGCCCTCTACCATTGCCCTTTTTTAAATGGTGTATGTAATCAGAAGAACAGAGCACCAAGAAAACCACATTTTATGAATAAATTGGCCCTTAAGTGATTAGTTTGTAAATCAATTAGTAACTAATATGAAATAATCCACATTATATGAATAAATTTAGTAGTATAAAGCATTTTTTTTCTTTTTTCATATGTTAGTTGAGCATCAAGATGTCAAAATGTTCACAAAAAAATATTTTATCAAATCTAACCTTTTTTTAGAGACTACATTGAAATCATTTCTTCAACACATGATTTCAAAAATAATCCTAAACTGAAATTGGGAGTTTTTTTTTAATGCTAGAAGATTAATTATAAATACAAAATAAAAATTATATTAAAATGACAATTATAATTAAACAATACATACCTGGAAGTAAGCAATCACTACAAGGAAAAAAAAAAAAAAAACAACCTTAATTAAACAAAAACTTCCGTAATGAGGAGACATAATCGATCTTTATTTTTATAAGAATTGACTGTTTGACCCCGTAGATAGAATGTATATATATGGATGGCAAACTAAATTTGATTAATTGAAATCATGGATTGAATCCACAAATTTTCAGATAAAATATATTGTGTGTGTCAATTTTCGACCACACTGCCAATCAAGTACTCAGCTGGAGAACACCGGCAGAATAGATTAAGCCCGAACAACCTGTAACAGAAAGAAGAGATTCTGGTGGTAGCTCGTCCACCCGGGGGCACTCCGACGATCAAGTCAGTAAAATATCTCTCAAAGATAACTAATAGTGCTTAACTCACTAGACAGAGCATAAAAGCCATACCTTAGACCCATGGAGGTGCCTCACTTTTATAGCCAACACAATCCTAATCCCAATAGAAGCCTAGCTCTAATAGATTTAGGATTACTGCTAATCTTAAACTCCTAGTAGGATTAGGATAAACTCTCTAAGAGTCTTATCTTTTCCCAACCTGAAGTCTTCTCCCATTCTAGGACTCTTGTCCCTTATCCGCTTATCCCAGATTCCGGTTTCTTCGCAGATAACCTCGGCCTAGCCGAGATCATCTCGGCGTTATGACCAGGACACGTGGCACCTCGGCTGGCACTTCAGTGACACCTCAGCCACGTGTTGTCATTCAAAAATTATGTCTCTGCAATTGCCCCCTAGGTTCTATTACCTCGGCATCCTGAGGTGATGGAATCTATATCATTTCTTCCATTTAGCACGTCGGCTAAGCTCGCTTCATCATCTATTGCCGAAGTCAGAACTCCTCAGCTCAATAAGACCAAGGCCTATAGTCTGTTTTCATTAATGCCTTAGAACCATAAGTTTCTCAGCCAAAACCGTTCTCCTAGCTGAGGTATTTGCTTCATTGAATCAAGAACTCCAAGAGGTCCAGCACGCGTATGAGCTGACACGCACAGTATTTCAACCGTTTTTACCACGCGTCTTTCCCCTACTGGACCATACCTAATACGCGCTATCAAGTCGCATCACTTTTGCGTGCGTTGGCTGACAAGCATGTCGTCCAAGGCACCATAATTGCCATTTTGCCGCCATTTCATGCTTTTGATCAAAATCATCTCTCTCTTTGTCTTTTAACTTCTGCATCTTCGTTCTTGTTCAAACTTTCTCTCTCAAATCCTCCATTGCTGCTATTGTGAAGCTTTCTGCAACCAGTTTCACTCTCTCCATCCGGTGAGGCTTTCGTTGCACTTCTTTGCTTACTACCACCGTCTGACACCGATGTACTTCACACCGGCCTTTTTGTAATCTAAACAATCTTTCTTCAATGTTAGGCCGAAGTGCCTTCTTTCCTTTTCTGAATGCATTCTTTAATTTCTTCTTTCAACGTGGCTGTATGTGTCTTCTTTTTACTCTTGTATGATTCTATACTTAAAATAATTTGCATGTCTTCAAAATAAACCTTAACTGTGCAATCTCCTCGGGGTGTAACACCTCGGTTGTACCCACTAATCGGTTTATCTCAGCCTTATCTTAACACTTGAAAATATTATTTACAATATTTTCACAAGTGTAATTTACAACTTGATACTTCACTCTTAGCAAGACTTCTGTCTTCAAATTTCTTCCAAGTCTTGGCAATATGGTAATCTCGGCAAGTATGTAGATATTTCTTTTTGGCTTAACTTGTAAATTTTTCTCAAAATTTCAACAAGTGTTAAACTAATCTTCTTTTAACATAACCTTGGCTTACTTCAACTTGTAAACTTAAATTTCAACAAGCGTTAAACGTGACCTCGGTTTAACTTCAACTTGTAAATTTCAATTTCAACAAGTGTTAAACATGACATCAGTTTAACTTCAACTTGTAAATTTCAATTTCAACAAGTGTTAAACATGACATCGGTTTAACTTCAACTTGAAAATTTCAATTTCAACAAGTGTTAAACACATTATCGGTTTAACTTCAACTGTAAATTTCAATTTCAACAAGTGTTAAACATGACATCGGTTTAACTTCAACTTATAAATTTCAATTTCAACAAGTGATAAACACATCCTCGATTTAATTTCAACTTGTAAATTTCAATTTCAACAAGTGTTAAACATGACCTCAGCTTGAAAATTCCGACTCCCAAGCATCATTCTTTAACCCTTTGCCCCCTAATGTGAACTTAAGTTCCATTTGGGTTCTCATTAGGCACGTGGCTTTGACCTCGTTGCCGATGTAAGACTTGAACAAAGACTGGCTGAGGTTATTAACCTTGGTCTCTTTACTAAGGCACTTAGCTCCAATCTGTGTCTGATTTTGCCGATATGACAAGTCCAGGTTAACCCAACTTAGTTCAACTCTATTATATGCAAGTAAAGTTTCTACTCTGCTATATAATAAGTCTAAGTTATTCGGCATGTTTCAATTAGAAACATGGTCATAGGACTGGTCGGTCCTATCGCACAGATTTCAAAAATCAAACTAGCACTTTATTATTGCTTCAGCCATTATGCCCCATTGCCAGCAACCTTTCTCAAGCTGAGATCCCTAACTTTGAACTCTCTTGGGCTGACCTTCTTGTTGAAAGCCCTGCAAGTTGTTGCTGGTATGCCCCCAGCTGAATTATTGTTCTATCATACGTTGCAGGTGGATTTCAAAGCGTTTTCATACTTTTTTACATAGGCTTCAGCTTCCTCTTGCATGTAAGGCCAAAAGAATCCCTATGATATTGCTCTATAGGCAAGGGATTTGCTCCCTGCATGGTTTCCACATACTCCTTTGTGGACCTTATATAAAAATTCTTTAACTTAGGCCAAGCTCTTCTCTCCTCTGACTTAATTATCTAGGCCGAGATCTTGTTTTCTAGGATCTGGGATCTGCTCACTTGGGCTGAGCTCTTGTCTTCTCCTATCCAGTGTTATCTTGGCTTCGCTTTGGCGAACCATTTCTCTTCTCTTATTTGAACGCCTTTGTCCCCGGCGTGTCCTCCTCGGCTCTGGCATACTTCTCCATCCTTGCCATCAGCTCCTCCATGCTTTTCGGTAATGTATTTGCCAATGATTTTCGAAGCAGGTAGTCATCCTTCAAGCCGTTTTTAAACGACACGACCGCCACCTCTT